GCGCGCAGCGCTTCTCGCTGGCCGGCGCCGCCTTCCCGCCCGACTTCTGCGAGGGCACCTTGCCCTACTCCTACAACCTGTGCGTGGCCGCGCCGGCCCGCGCCGCCGCCGAGGCCGCTTGGCCGCCGCCGCCGCTGCCCATCCTGCCCGCCGAGGAGCTTCTGGCCGGGGAGCCCTGCGACAAGCCGAACCCGAGCAGCAGCAGCGCCGTCGCGGGAGAGCCGCCCACTGTCACCGACGCACCACAGGTCTGTAAAGCTCACGCTGTTCCCCCTGAGCCTTTCTTAACAGGCTTCATCTTTTTTCGGTGTTTTTCTCCATGAATTGTGTTCTTGGGTTGAGCTGATCCCTGAAGAAAGTAAGAAACATAGTATCAACTTTCCACTCTCGGTAGGCTGGCCAGCCGAGGCTTTTGATTCTTCGAGGCTCACAGCTACTGTTGCACTTCACAGAATCATAGAATTAGACGGGTTGGGAAGGAACTCTGAGATCATCAAGTCCGACCCTTGGTCCACATCTACCGCAGTTTCTAGACCATGGCACTAAGTGCCACATCCAGCCTCTTCTTAAATACCTCCAGGGATGGAGAAACCCCCCCTCCCTGGACAGGCCTTTCCAATGCCTGATTACCCTCTCTGTAACGAATTTCTTCTTAATATCTAACCTAAACTTCCTCTGGCAGAGCTTTTGCTTAGATTTTGATGACTGCAACGCCCCTTTAAGCAATCACCTGTGAACGCAGTAAATTAGTGATCGTGCATGGTGAAAAAATGAGCTGAACGCTTGGTATTTGAGGTTTCTCCTTCTGATAGCTTTTTCCTAGATTGATATGCTTGCACCTGGTCAGTACTGTTTTGATATAGACTCCGAAATGTAACGTGCGTCGGGCTCTACAAATTGAGTAGTCACATGCTTGTCCTAACCCTCTTCCGTTTGTCCCCCCGTGATTTGAGAGGTGTGCTTCACATACAGTAACGCTAGTGAGGCTGAATAGTTTTTCCCCAAGTACTATTTGTTTAATTTAAAACCCACTTTTAATAGTGTTTTCCAAGTTGCCCTGTGTCCTCTCATGTTTTGAGGGAATGCTGCTGCAAAAGGGCAGCGTGAAGTAGATGGATAAATTTTATCCAAGCATGATCTTCACGGGGTTTGTTTTGTACAGTTATTTCTTAGTTCAAAGGTAAACACGGCTTCCTTCTCTGCAGAAAGAACGTGACAGAACTCAAAAAAAAATATTGATGTTTGGAGTTTGTTGTTTTAGTTCTTTTCTTGTTGATTGGTTTGGGTTTTTTTTTCCCCTGAAATATGCGTGTTTTCGAAGTGAAAGATGATGTTTACAGGTTGTTCCTCCCTGAAGGAAGAAAGCGTCGACCTTGTTTTATGATAAGGTTTCATCAGAAATGGTAGCCCGGGAGGGACTGGTTATTTATTCGAGGCATCGTTTCTCTCTGCAGTTCTCTTTCACTTTCTCCCTCT